AATTTAAGGCAAGAGACGCACTAGTAGAAGGAAGAAGTCGTGAGCAAAATTCAAGGCAACAGACGTGGGAAAAATTCAAGGAAAGAGACGTACTGGTAGAAGGAAGAAGTTGTGAGCAAAATTCAAGGCAACAGACGTGGGAAAAATTCAAGGAAAGAGACGTACTGGTAGAAGGAAGAAGTTGTGAGCAAAATTCAAGGCAAAAGACGGGCTGGTAGAAGGAAGAAGTCGCGGTTGCAGAACGTACGGGAGTGGACCGGAATCACATCCGCCAAGAAACTGTTTAGAATGGCGTAAGATACCCGGCAAATAAAGTTGTTAACTGCTAACCTTTAGCAATAAAATTGTAAATAATATTATTACAATGTTTTTTTTAATTTCAGCTTTAGTTTTCCATAAATCAATGTCAAGCCGAAATTGGGGCAGATTGATTGATATCACGTATTTTTAATATTATTGTTCAAAATATTCTCTGTGATATTCTTCCGTCCTGACAAAAAATATATTAATAGTATTCCGAATTTCTAAGTGGTTTTGTGACAACAAACTATTTTTTATTAATTTCGTGTTAGCCATTTCTGGTGGCTTCTTTCTCGTGATTGAACAGCCTGTGTATGAAAAATCTTAGTATTAATTCGTATTATGTAATTTTATCTCATATGAAATCAAAGATGTATAATGATAATATCAGAATTGCTATTATCAAATACACATAATTAAAAGTGTATAAAAACTTTAATCAAAATGTCAATCAGAAGTCGATTGGGTATCAAGTTGATTAAAATGCGATGATTGGCATATCCGGTTCCTATAACTTTTAATAATAATGCTTAGGCAATCACTATACGTAGTGTAGGAGATGATTGTATTGAAATATTTAATAGTAATTAAATAATAAAAGTTCTAATAATATACGTTCAAGCACACAGATGCTAACTAAAGATTTAAGTTGGCGGTAGATAGTACCGGTGATCCCAGCTGGTGCTTTCCTAGCATCGAATAAGTATCGCAATACAGCGAGGAAATGCTGCCAGCGTTAAAGGTACACTGCCATAGGGACCAAACTTTTTAAATTTGTTTTAATTTTCTATTTATCAATGTTTATTTCTATGTGAGTTAAGAATATTGTAAATACTGTATATTTGTGTGTTGGAAATGAATCTGTTTACAATAATAGATATACATAATATTTTTTTGAAATTAAATGGATCTCGTAAAAAAATTTGGCTAATTTGTTTTTCTTTTGGGTCAAATTATGTCAATAAGCAGTGTTGGCCTAGTGGCTTCAACCTGCGGTTCGATCCCCGGCTGTGCACCAATGGACTTTCTTTCTATGTGCGCATTTAACATTCGCTCGAACGGTGAGGGAAAACATCGTGAGGAAACCGGCTTGCCTTAGACACAAGACAGAACTCTGATTTTTTTAATATCATGTCAATAAGTAATTTCGGGTATTACCCGTTAAAGAATTGTATAAAAGCGACTTTACAATAAACAAACACACATTATACATAATTAAATACAAATAGAATACGTTTGATTCAATAATTCAAAATAGAATTTAAATAAAGTCCAAAACTGAACCAATTAGTGCTAGTGACTAACATATTATATATGTGGGCTATATTTCCTATATATCAAACCGAAAATGAAAGCTAAAATGACGTCGACATGTCTTACACTAAAGTCAAGTTGACCATTAAGATATTGTTTGACAATACTGACGTCAAGCCGCGCCTGGAGCAAACATGATTTGTGAAGCCCTTGACACTGACAAACAATTTGTTCCTATGAGCACGTGCCCATTTTTTATCAGTTTTTTGTTTTTGTTTACTAGCTGTGTCACTCATATGTAGCCTGTCTAGATAATGATAAGTTTATTTTAAATAAATTTGAATGTCATAGACTATTGCGCGCCAATAAAAAAGTAATAATCGAAACTCTTTAGTTGATAGTATAATAGACTCTGTAGTAAATGATAATATAAAGTAAAAAAGAAACAAACCAGTGGCTTTTTAGGTCTGGGCCTCAGATTTAAGTATCTATTTCATGCTCATTTGTCAATCTAATAGGCAAGTACGTGATCAGCCCCCTGTGCCTGACACACGCCGTCGACTTTTTCTAAGGCAAGCCTGTTTCCTCACGATGTTTTCCTTCACCGTTCGAGCGAATGTTAAATGCGCACATAGAAAGTACATTGGTGCACAGCCGGGGATCGAACTTTCGAACTCTGGGATAAGAGTCGCACGCTGAAGCTACTAGACCAACACTACTCAAATGATATTGCTTTTTTATATTTTATGAATGTAGAGAACTAAGTTGTATTATGAATTAATACGTATATAATTTAAGCTTATATTTTGATTAAAGAAATCTAGATTTAGCTTGTGAATGAAGATGGGCAGATTGCCGAGGATGGAGCAGGCTAGCTCAGGATAGAATAGTAGGGTCAACCGAGACCTGACCAGAAATTTGTGCTTTATCTAAGTTTTTTCCAATTATTTGTAATTGTTTTGTAAATAACAGTGAATTATGGCTTTATTTATACGCACCTACAATTATGAATATTTTTTTGTCATGGTGGCTCCAGACTGGTTATTGATTTGAAGCGACAGAGAACAATACTCTGTTTTACAATACATATAAACGTGAATTATTTTCGTTTGCAAAGCAACCCTCGAAGCCCGAGGCGAAATCCGACCCCAACACTTGCTATAACTGTATTTAAGTTATCTCCAAAACTTTGAAATACAGCGGCATATCTTTTGCGTTCATTTCCTATGTTTATTTTATTATACCCAAAAGGAATGGTATTTCTTACCCCCTTATACCTAAGTACTACATCTCTCTCTTCATAGCGTAAACACAATTGGTCAGAAAGAACATTAGTTTATTGAGTGCATTGGTAATTATAGGAGTGTAGGTGTGCAATTGTTTGCGCATGATTGGGTATTTATACAAATTCAATCACATTAAAATGTTTTAATATTTCTATAGTGCATTTTCTACAAACAACCTTTCTGCTTAACTATATAGAAATTAAATGAAATTTATTGCATTTTTGACAATAAACTTAATGCTATCTATTATTGTGAGAGACTGGTGCTTGAAAAAGGTTGGGAAAACCTGTTATTACAAGTCACCAGTCCCTCTTGGACATAGTGGCAAAAAGTATTGCTAATACAACTTTTAAAAACGAACAATAAATAATTTATAAAAAATAAAAAAATATAATAATATATAATACAGTTTTTATATATAAAAAAAAAAAAAAAAAAAAAAAAATAAAAAAAATTTTTAAAAAAAAAAAAATTTTATTTTTTTTTTTTTTTTTTTTTTTTTAAAAAAAAAAAAAAAAAAAAAAAAAAAAAATTTAATTTTTTAAAAAAAAAAAAAAAAAAACCACCTAAAAACACACACACTCATTCACTTCAAAAACAAAAAATTAATTTTATTTTTTTTTTTTTTTTTTTTTTTTTTTTTTTTTTTTAATTTTTTTTTAAATTTTTTATAATAAAAAAAAAAAAATTTTTTTTTTTTTTTTTACAAAAAAAAGGGCCCCCTTGTGTGGGGGGGGGGGTTTTTTTTTTTTTTTCAAAAAACTTTTTTTTAAAAAAAAAATTTTTTATTATTATTATATAATACAGATATAGTTATGAAATAGAGAGATTGCTCTTATATCTGTAAATATATAGAATGGGCTATTACTTATATAGTCTATTAGTACGAAATCTCTTGAAATAGTCGCCTTTACTTAATGCTGCCAAGGGATCATTTATATTTATTTATTCATTTATTTATTGTACACATAATAAAAAAAAAAAAACATACTAATTGAGGAAACAAACTGATAAAAAAAAAAAAAAAAAAAAAGTATTTTACTTAATTTTTTTTTGTTACTTAAATTGTCATACATATATGAAAGAGTTTGTAACATATACCATAGATATAGTATTTATATATGATGTGGTTAACTTTAATTAATAATTAATAGTATTTACCCGTAATTTTACCCTCCTAAAACCTCTAAAGTGAGAAAGAAGTAAGAAGATGTTGATACTTCCCTCTATAAGCGACAGTAAAATGCATTTAAATTTTGCTGTTTAGGACTCATTATTAAATTTCAAAGGACTCTTCTTTAATGTAAACCAAATGTGAGTTATTGTTTTCTGCAGTTTTAATATATGAGACAGAACTAGAAACTTGGGTTAGTAAGAAACCTCTATAAGAGAAAATGAGATCGCGGTCCTTTGAGCTTTCACTTATCCAGGCTTGACTGTATATAAGCAAACTGAAGGATATTTTTTAAATTTATACTCAACGTAAACAAACAAAACTGATACTCCCATTTGAATATTCTTAAGTAGGTCAGATGGACAAATGGTTGTGGCGAAATGAAAAAATTGTCCCGGAAGTCGATTTAGAAGATTAGTTGCGACGCCAGTTTGACGACTTGTCGTGTATTGTTCGTGTTTAGTCTTTGGAAAATGTGATTTTTCTAAACTGGAAGACTGGGTCTTTTAATAGCTATTACACCTATCAACTTTAAGGGTCTCATTAGACAGCGTCTATTTTATTCAAATCTCCAAAATGTAAAGAAATAGACCCTTGCGTTCAGAGTAGTTTTAAATTTTTTTTTTTAAGTATGAGATTTATAATTGGGGCAGATCGTAAAGGTTGTACGGTAATATAATCCTAATAGTTTCCATCGTAGGGACTATTATATATTCTTATATCTTTACCTATACATACATATTATATGTATAAGAGTGGCGGAGAGTTTATTGCCAGTTCTTCTCTTCCGTTCTACGCCCTTGATTTGAGAACTGGCAGTAAATGTAAAATTTGAAGCATTTAATGTATATATTTCTTTTTCGACGTTCATAAGTGTACATTGTGTTACCTATATAGATAAATGATGTTGACTTTTGACATATAATGAAGCTCTCTCTTCTCTGGAAGCTCTGGAAGTCTGATGGTCCTATCCTCACATACTGAACCTACCTTAACAACTTGACGTCCCAAAGCGCCAGCACTTCAGGAGGTCGAGATGCGCAGAGGGCCAGCCGAGGTCCACAGGCGTGTAACCGTACGGGACCAGCTTTGATTCCCGTGGAGGACGGTGCTGATATGATAACTGCTGCAAATTCTTTGCTGCTTCCTAAGTTGTGTTGCACCTGGAAGTACAATAAGATTTAAATGTGCATGATTACTTAAATATAGTCGATTAAACGATGTGATTAAGAAAGGGACCGAAACAAGTTTAAGAAACCTTCGGCCATGTATCAATGTTATGTCAACAGCAGCTGATTTGTGTCCATTTTTAATTTGTTTTTTAGCTTCAGTAATTAATAAAAAAGCCCTCGATAAATGAACTGTCTAACAAATCTCTTTTCAGACCGGCAACGCACTTGCGAGCCTTCTGGCAAGGTGACCAGTGGCGGTGGTATCACTTAATATCAGATGATTCTCCTGCCCGTTTGCCTCGTATTACATAAAAAGAAAAAAATAGTATCCACTTTTATTTTAAATATTAATATATCAAGCATGGAGGAGTCATGGACGGGTTTCAAATACAGATATTTTGATGGAACCCCTATATAAGGTACTATGTACTAAAACCCTTAAAATAGTATAAGCTATGAACAGCGGCTTCGCTCGCACATAGTATTTATATAAGTAGTAAGTATGTGATTGCTGTGCCTGACACACGCCGTCGACTTTTAGGAAAAAAAGCCGGTTTCCTCACGATGTTTTCCTACACCTTTTGTCCGAATGTCCATTGGTGCACGGCCGGGGATCGAACCTACGACCTCAGGGATGAGAGTCGCACGCTGAAGCCACTAGTCCAACACTGCTCTATACATGTACTAGAATTAATATATTTTATTTATTATTTTCTGTATCTTTATTTTATATATCTTTAAAACTATACCTTCACCCTCCACTGTATTAAAATCTCTCTGGTATCAAAAGCCAGTACTGGAACGACATCCTCACAAAGTATGGCGAGTGTGTTCGACTCCTTGTCAAGTGTGAAACCCGACTCGAACCCCAGATACTGCTGCAGCGATAACGACGCCTTCGTCTGGCCGTTCTTCTGTCTCTCCTTTAGGTCTTTGTAGAGTTGGAGATGAACGCAATCTGTAAAAAGATAATAATATTAATAAAAGCCTTTATTGTTGTAATAACTTATACTAATACATATAAATGTGAAATACTAATAATTAATCGGCAAGCCGGTTGATTTCTGTCATACAGCTTGTCCTTGGACATAGGCCTCCTATAAGAGCTTCCACTCCTCTCGGTTTCTAGCTTTACGTAGCCCCATAGGGCCAGCTACTCTTCGCACATCATCTTACCATCTTTTTATTTGTCTTCCTCGCTGTCTTTTGTCATAGCAAGGAAGCCATTCCGTCACTTTCTTCATCCATCTTTATCTTCTCTCATAATGTGTCCTGTCCATTTCCATTTCAATCTTTTACTAGAAGTAACAGCAGTTCTGAACTTTGTCATGTCTTTTCTTCTAGTTTTACTCTATCTTTCAATTTCAGACCTATTCTGACATACTCTTAGTTTGTTTTCTTGATTATCAGTGTAAAAAGATAACTATGAATAATTAATATATCTACGTTCATTAACTGTATCATTTATTTTCTTAATTAGCGTATTTACGTAATCCCCTATTTGGCCTTTTCAGTGCAGCCATTTTAAAACCAAACATAATCTGTTCTGGGACTGGGCCAGGACTTTCCAAAGTCTGTTGTTCAATATTTTAAATATTTATGCAATTAAAGTTTTTTACTGTTCTATTAATGACTTTTAAATAAATTAAATTTTATTTAAAAGTCATTAATAGCTATCTTAAGCGGGTAAACTTAAATGAGAAACGCATCATAAAGAAGACGATTCACTATATTCTTATACACACATAACAAAAAGTATAATTGTACTGCTTTAACTAAGAACTGTCTTTTCTTTACAGGTTGACACATATTTTACGCTTTCCTTGCCAGTTAATTAGCTAATTAGAAAGATATGGCGGTATTATTGACATCTGTCACTTGACAGATGACGTTTAACGTTTAAAGGTGGGATGGATATACAGGTATAGTTAATATATGTACATATATATATTAGACTGATTCAAAATATTTTTTTTTTTTGAGTAAATATATCTAAAAAGCTTCTTTGTCAGACAAAAAAAAACCTCCTGAAAAATGAGCTTGATATCTTGAAAATTGAGCTGGCGCATGGGGGTTCCCTTTCCCATTTAAAATGCATTAAAAAAAACTTTTTTCTTTATTTTCATTATAAATCGTCGAAAAATTTTTAAATGGGAAAGGGGGAAAAATTTATTTTGAATCAGTCTAATATATATATGGACACCTGCAAAAAGGTTAGGTAAGAAGAGTTTTATTATATCATTTGTCATTTTTATAATCTGTGGCGGTGGCGTCAATACGTGTGTGCGAGTGTAGCTAAACCAAAAATTTGCTTTTTATATAAAGTACATATTTATATGTTATATACTGTTTCAAAATATTTATAAAATCTAAACAGTCCACATGAAAGCGTTGTTTAGGTCGTGGATTGTATAATTTCTCAAAGATCAAAATGAATAATGAATAGACTTCCTTTGTCTACGGTATTTCCTTATTGTCTACTGATTTTTCCAGGAATGTCTAGACTTATAAATTGCTAAAAGTTAGAATTTTTATGAAGAAAATAAAAGCGAAAGGGTATTATATAGCGAAAAATTCTTTAATGTACAGTTTAGAAGTTCTGAAAGTTATTTCACAATTTGTGTCAGAATTGACGCCACGTTTATACAAAAACAATACTTACGTACAAATGATTGAAATACTATTACCGAACAAAGGCTTAAACAACAAAAGGAAACCAGAAACTACAGAGCACAAATTAAAGAAAAACAATCAAAGCTTAAACATTTCAAATTCGCTGATTAGAACAGCCGAGTCACGTCGCGCCAATTAGAAAACGCTCCCAAAATTAATTTGAAAATGGAACACTCGATTTTGACGTAGTGGATGTCATACGGGAGTTATTAACATGCAATACTGGCCTTTATAACCGTAAATTACGGTTTAAATTGCTCTATTGCTAGTGGCGTCATAGATAATACATCTTGATGTCATTTATGCTAGTGTAAGGGAAAATTGACTCTGTGCTTTTAGTCTATGGATAGAATTTGTGTGAGTAATTTGACATGTAATTAGTAAGCGCGCGACGAAGACCATTTTTAATAACATAATTTGAAAACAGATAATAAATTATGCAAATGATAATTTAATGTGATAACATGGCCTCAGAGCATCTGTTTTAAAGCTTTTTAGGTTCATTTTTATGGTTAGTACATTTTAACCAAGTATTCAATTATTTTTATAGCCATAAAATAATATGTGGGGATATAAAATTTCTAACGGAAGTTCAAACTCAATTTAAACCATATCAGAGGTAACTTGTTAGATTATTCTAATAACAGCGCTATTAACAATAAAACATTAGCTTTGAACAAAAATCTGAATAGGAAGTAATTATAATTTTTTGTGACTATTTAAGAATTCATCATTTCCTACGAAAATAATGTTTTTTGAGTAATATGCTTAAAAAATAAGAATGAATACCCATTTATGACAAAATGTCTTATAAACACAATAATGTAACTTAATAGTAAATTGTCAAGTATTAATCGTATATGTAATCAAAGAATTACTTGTGATTTGTTATCTTAAATCATCTGCAAATATGTCAAACTTTATCATGCCATAGTCTGTGCAATAATGGCGGTTTTATTAACAGTGTTCATTTCAATTCGCATCTCGTACTGACCTACATAGACTCACGACTCTTTGACAAATTATATAATGTCTTGAGATAAAATCATTACACGTAATGGCTACGCAGTGTAGAAACTTTTAAATGTACTACAATTATGATACAGGATTTTATTGTACTATAATCTGTGTCAAGTTAGTGCTAACCTGTTTTTTCATAAACACTAAATCTAAAATCTTTTAAGCATAGACAATATTTAATTGTAATCTATGGTCTTAGAAGAGTAACAAATGCGTTTTGAATGGAAAGCTTAAGAGTATAGTAGATAATACAATAAGAATAATAAATGTCAATAACTATTTCTTTTTCATGTTTCCTTTTTTTATTATTTCACTGATGATGATGACTGATGTTTGAATTGCTTTGCTTTGTTCCATTAGTTTTGTCTAAGCGACTATGTCAACAACAAAAATATAATATTTTTTTTAAAATATTATACTAAAGATATAACCAAAGATTGAATACATAATATAACAAAAAGTTTCATTTACGAAAGGAAAAAAAACAATAAAAAATATCAAATACATTTAGCTGAGTAATATACCTTATTCCAGTGTTGTGTGATGGTGTGTGAGGGTATGTTCGTGAGGATGTGTAGGTGTGCTCATGATGCAGGTTATGCACTTTGGATATTCTTAATACTCCTTTCCTCTCGAATAAGAAAAACCTATACAAATGTACAAGGAAAATCATTTGTAGGCGAATTTACGATTTCTCAGGGATCGTTAAGCATGTGAATAAGTAATGGCCAGCCTACATGTATAATACAGTGAATTTTGTATGAACATCGCTGAATATGTATGGTTTACATATAAGTTTCTCTCTGAAGTCCTTCTGCCGGTATTAGATGTGACCTTTTACCGCAAATAGTGCTATACTACAAGTAGTACTTTTGAAGTTATACTTCTTTTGGCGAGTTAGGGAAAAATGATGACAGTAAATTTTTAGGATGCGCGCACACACCGTCACAAAAAACCGATACTCTGAATATCTGTTCAAACGTCGGTGAAACAGACTGGGCTGCTAGTGGGCACTTGCTCTGTTTTATCGATAAGTTGCATTGACTGTCATGGCGTAGTGTTTTTCAGAGTCGTGTTTATTTAAACCGAAATAATGATTTCTATACGAGAAAACCCGTTCTGATGTGTTAGAAAACATAGTGTTTATTTATAATAACATGATTAGTATATATTATATCGTTTCGATTGGAAGTGACCATTAAAATAGACAAGAAAAGTTCGAAGAGGGAAAGGCGTCTAAAGTGCTCGAAGAAAATTATTACGCCAAAGAAGTATAATTTCTATGTACCTATGATATGTACCTGCGTTCCCCTACATTGCTTCAATTCCCTGAACCCAAAGGGGATATGACTGACGCTAGACATCCAGTTTGGTGGTCAGAAAACGGGCGAGCCATACCCACTAACGCATTCCTCGGGTGCTTCCGCCCGAAAGCGACAGAAGATACATTCTACTGGGACTCGACAATTGTCCATTTTGTAAGGATTGTGCTGATTAATAAAGCTCGGAAGGTCCTTGGGGCGATTACAAGCTTCTGGAACAGATTGCCCACGGATTGGTTTTCCGTAGCATTGATGTTGAATATGTAATGTACACGTGGCAGTGCCTGATTTCAGGTCAATATTCGTGAAGCAAGTATAGGGTATGCTGGAGCTAATGCCGTTTATAATTAGCCATTCATCCACTGGCTATTTACGCGAGTTATATAGCGTACAAGTGTTGGCGCTGTGAGAGGCCCAATAAAGATTTTAGAATTATTTATCTCACACAATCTTGATCGGAGGGACATGTAAAACGCGACTATAATATAAGTTTTATTTATGTTACAGTAGGCTCGCAAGCGCGCTGCCGGTCTTTTAACAATTGATACGCTCTTTTTCTTGAATGACCCTAAGTCGAATTGGTTCGGAAATACTTCAGTGGGCAGCTGTTTCCATATAGTGGTGGTATGCGACAGAAATTGCCTTAAGAAACGCTCAGTTGTGGAACGACGGACGTCAAGGTGATACGGATGGTATTTTGTATTCTGCCACCGATGATGAACGTCAAAAAGATAACAAAGTAACAATTGAATATAGCCAATACATGGAATAGCAGTTAAAAAGACCAGGTTTATTTTTTAAAGGAAATTCAGTTGAGTTGTAAAAGCAGAAAATGTCTCAGTAAAGAGCGGAAAATGGTTGTAAAATGAAGAAAAACCGCCCGTCGCAGTCACGTAGCACCCGAACGTGATTCGCAACCTCTCAATAACGACATTTTTGGGGAAAATCATTCAATATAGTATTTTAAATCACCTGATTCTCCTAACAAGACAGAAATGTAGTTAATAAAAAAAATAAATAAATCAGTGTCGCTACAACGTTTTTTAGGCCTGGGTTCTCTGTATTCTCAGATTTCTGTATTTGTTTCATGATCATTTGTCAATCGAATAGGCAAGTCAGTGATCAGCCCCCTGTGCCTGACACACGTCGATTGCTTGACGGCTTTTTGGGTCTAAGGCAAGCCGGTTTCCTCACGATGTTTTCTTTCACCGCTCGAGCGCATACGGTCTTAAAAAGAGACTCCATTGGTGCAAAGCTGGGGTTCGAACCTACGACCCCAGGGAGTCGAACGCTGAAGCCACTAGGCCAACACTGCACTGCTGTATTAAACAAAACACAAATTAAAAAAACTATACTAATATTTACAATGCCTAAATGTATTCTTGTTCATAATTTAATACGTTTTAAAAGGGTCTTAAAAAGTAACGTTTATTCTTCTAAAGACATCGTACGGGTTTGTTACGCAAAGTACTCTTTATGTGAGACGCTGTCAAGTGACAGGTCTTTTAAGTTGAAGCCATAAAGACGGCGTTCAGAGTCCATCAATCATGTTTTAAATTTTGAGAAAAAGTTTGTAACGGTAGAATTATTAGTGTATATCTTATATGTGAATGATATATATAGGGCAGTAAATGACCTCTTAGAGTCTTAAGGGTAACTTATTTTCACCCAACGGTAAACTATTTTAATTACTATTTTATGCATTTATTTAAAAGTAATATTATAGCTAGACGTATACATTTTATAAAACAAAACGCTTAGGCAATGTACAAAGCTAAAACAGATTACATTGTTAAACAAAATGTATAAAACAGAAAACATAAGTCAATTTAGTACATTCAATTTAATTCCATAATGTACTGTATTGTATATATGTATACTATAAATTTTTGTGAAACAAAATAAAGAATTTTTGAAATTGAATTAGTACTTTAGTTCCCGAAAGCCAAAACAATGTACCCAAGATCACCTTTATCTTAATGACTGCTAACCCATGGGTCGATAGTGTTAAATTAGTCGCCGTCTGCGGTCCAACCTGAGTTTTCCTCGTAAATTTCCGCTAAGCCGGCTGCCAAACTTATATTAAGACTAGCGTGAAAATTACGACGGCGCCTAGACTGTTTTAGGACCTAATTTAAAGGCAAGGCTAGCAAATTGTCCGCAAGTTTGTCTGCAAATATGTTTATATAGTTTTTTTAAACTTTTATATATTTACGTATTCCTACAGCTAACATAAATTATATACAACAAAAAACAATTACACTAAACATATAGCCAAATACGGAATACATAATTATGTAATTGTTATGTAATAGTAAATAACTCACACACAGTATGTTTAGTGTATACATTTTACTTACTTTAGTGTATAACGTTTAATTATACATACATATATGTAGACCTTCGTGTTCTTTAAATATACAAGATCTATAAAAAAACTATTTTTTATATGTACCTATAGTAAAAAATATAATGAGTTCGAAGTATTTAAGAAATTGTACGAGTTTGTAGTCTTAAACTCTGGGACGTTAGCACAAATATTTCTTTTATTTAAAAAAAAACAGCCAATAAAACCTTCAACTAGCTTCAACGCTTTTAATTAAGGCTGACATACACAGCTAACAAAGCAAAGTAAAAACAAGGGTAATTAAACCAATGATTTTAATTTGTACCTAGGACTTGCTACAAAATACGCTTAACAGGACAATTGTACAATATTGAGTAATTCATAATAATCAAGATTTGGACCAGTGTATGTCTATAATAACTGATGGATATATTTAATAAAAATTCCAACACACAAATATACAGTATATACAATATTCTTAACCTATTAGTATGTTAGTAATGACAATTATAAATTTGAAATCAAAACAATTTTAAAAAAGTACGTGCGTACAAAGTACAAATGTCAGAAGTGAAACTTCTTTGGCAAACTAATTTTTAACTCTTGTTCATATTTAAACAAATCTAAAACTTTAGATTTCCGAGACTTTAAGGGAGGGAAAAGGAAGTTATTTATTAGAAGTTAGTCATTAAAATATTTAAAGCGTCGAAAGTTAATACAAATAATATATTTTTTTTTAATTTATTCCTTCGATAATAAAAAACACGTGGCATTTTAATTTACAATCTGTCATTTGAGATTTCAATAAATTATTTTGCATAAAATACTCATTTCATATATTCTCTTACCGAAATTTTAATTTTAAAAATAGAATTTCTATATGGTAATAATTTCACCCTTCTCGCTCTCTCTCAACCGGTCTCAATCGCTCACTCCCTTTACCCGACAAAAACGCTGCACACCTTCGTGACGTTTTTTAAAAACTTTACCCTCATGCGCCTAAAGAAATATTAGCATGCAAATTAATTTAAAGTCCGTCATATTCAATATGTGGTACATAAATACTGTACTTGCGAAGTTGAACGTCAATTGGGACCTGAAAGTGTGTAAGAAATTTCCATAATTGTGGTCAATTTAGATTCGGATTCGTGTCATGGACTTTCCGCTAGTTAGCGATCGTGACGTGAATGACACCTACCTGTCAATAATAGCCGGTTATTTGGCAGAGGATAATTCGCGGTTATTTTAACAGTTAAATCTTTTATCTATTCTAGTTAACGCAGATAACCCTACAAAATTATAGGCGGAAGATGTGTGTTTGACGTAATTATTAATTTATTATTATATATTGCCAAATTTTAGTAAAATGTGTTTTAAAGTAGATTTTTTTTTATAGTGAACCTAAAAACGTAATTTCAGAGAAGAAGTAGAAGTCCCGTGATTACTGTTTTGTAAATTATTTTAATACATTGCAAAATCAAATCGAAAATGCATTTTATATTTGAATAAATATATTATTTTATAGTAGCGTCCGGTCTTTGGCTTCAGCTGGACATTTTTTTACTATTAAAATATATAAATGAAAATTGGTGGCTTAGGGATAGTGTAGCATTCAAATGAATTGCTAATATTATTTTATAGTTGGCTTCAGCTGGATTTTTTTAAATTATACAGTAAACTCACTATAACGCGTTTTAATATAATGCAAATTTGCGGGCCCCATATAACGTGGTATTTCCTCCTATAACGCGGAGATTTCTCAAGTTATATTTCAGTAGTGTGAAAGTTATGATTTGTCAAGTCCATAATTAGTTTTGCGTACCTTTGCACATGTTTCAATTGTGTTCTTAGAAAATAAAACCAAATAACTTTATTAAATTCGTGTTACTAGTTTTGAAAACAACTATTCAAAAAGAAGTACTATTCAAAACAACGGTTTAATGAGAATACTCCTACAACGCGATTGCCTATAACGCGTTAGGTACCGTGTTACAGGGGGATGACTGTACATACAGCTTTTGTTGTTCAGGGATACGTAGCATTCAAATTAATTTATAAAATCAGTACAGTAAATTCAAATTCAAAATCATTTATTCATTTTGATAACACAATGTACACTTATGAACGTCAAAAAAGAAATATATACATTAAATGCCTTAATTACATTTACTGCCAGTTCTCAAATCAAGGGCGTAGAACGGACGAGAAGAACTGGCAATAAACTCTCTCTTTTTAATAGCCAAGTTTCTTGATTTACAAAATGTGTGTAAGGAGCTGCAACCATTACACCATGTTCCACATGACATCTTTAAGTAATTAATAGTAAAAAAAAGTAAAACGCAAAGAAGGTTTTGTGTTTATTCATTACATATATAGAACAAACACGAATAGATAAAAAAAGAACTGCCCGTGGCATGTGATATGAAAATTATCTTAAAGAAAAATCACAAATACAAATGTAGGGCAACAGTTAACGGTGTTGACAGGATGCTGACGGCAGCACAATCAGCATGTTACCTGTCGACGACATGCTTAACTCCATTTTTTTCATATTTCACCGTTTTCTTAATAGGGTTGAGTGGCCATGAGGTGGGTTTTTGGGGGATTTTTTATTGTCTTGATTACTGTTAAGGTTAGTCGCTATTGAAATCGAGATATAGAATGATGAGTTCTAATAAGGAATTTCAATTCAACCGTTTTTTTCTGTGTTCGCGGATTAATTCGTCGATAATAAACCGATTTTGTTGATTTTTTTTTGGTAAGAAGATATCCTAAGGATGTTAAAGGTTAGCATTCCATAGAATGAAATGATACATTCGAAAGTCGTTTTTAAATAGATATGGTAGTTTGATTTTTAACAGATGATTTTAAAATTAAATTCTTTAAGTGAATTGACAAAAGTTCTACTGTGTGTTGGTGCCAACAGTAGTTAGTTGATTTTATTTAACTTTGTTAATCTTTAGTTTGATTTATTATTAATTTGTAACGTTTGGTTTTTGTTTCGTGTAAGTTTTTTTTGTAAATCTTAAAATTTAAATTTGGAAAAAAATCATTAAAAGGCGATGAATAAAATTAAAAATTACTTATAATTGATTGTAGACACTTCATTAAATTTGCTGCATATTTTAAGTAAACCTACGTTATGTTAGATTAAATATAAAACATAACAGTATTTATATCTTAAACTACAAAAATATACCTCAGTATTTTCTTAACTCGGTTTCAAGAAAACCCAGTTATACATAACTCATAGTCACCGTACCACTGGTCTTGTGTCAGAGTTTTCGATGTTTTCTTCGCTGAACGAATTTTTATTGAGTTAGCGTAAAGCGAAGTTTCATAACTTAGCGTGAATTATTTATTGATATTAAGACGCTTTGTGAATTCCTTATAGATTCTGTTAAAAATAAATTGGCTTATAAACTTTTCAATCTATTAAAAAAAAATAACATTTCTCGCTTTATTTTAGATATTCGTTGTTTAAAAAGTTTATTTTTGAAGGGTACATTTGTGCGTGTACTATATACACAGTACTAAATTAGAAATTTAGCGAGGAAATTCTGCCAGCGCTCAAAACCATTTTTAGAATTGTTTTAGTTTTCTATTTATCAATTTTTATTTTTTTTTCTATGTAGGTCCAGAATATTTTAAATACTGTATATATAGACATTTAGCTATAATAAACAAATTGAACTTAGGAGATGATCCTTTCGCACTAGATAATAATGTATGACGGCTGGATGTTCTGTAATAAAAAGGAAATTTGTATTGTGACGTACAGAATAGAATTTGAGGAATTTGCTTTCCCTAGAAATATTTTAATATATTAACTTTAAAAGTAGACATAAAATATTCCTCTATCAGCGTGTTTACGCGAACCCATTAAAAAAGTAAACATGCAACGCTGCATCGTTTTTAATTTAATGTACACAAATCACGAAGGGGATTTCATACTTTCATATTATTTTAATAGAACGGATACATATTAATAGCTGCGAGTATATATATCACTCGCCTCTCATCACAACAGTGGGGCCATTTAAATATTACGTATGGACTATAGGTTCTTTGATTTTCTTATTTTTACACCTACACATTGTCTATGCTTGAAAACGAAATGCATTTGCGAGGATTCCTACAAAAAATTAATACGTTTATGTACTATTATTTTTGAGAGCTTTGCTTACTTTTGTTGACTGCTTACGTAATACTGGAACGGCCCCAGTTAACAAAAACATAGTCAATTCCAAATACGGCGTGGTTCAGGCACAGGAGGCTGATCGTCTTGCGTATAAAGCTATATGATCTAGAGAATAGAGGCCTACAGCAGGCGTGGTTATGCATTTATTATTACTAAAATAAAAGGTAATTAAAAAGTGAGGCACCAATTGATGACAGTCTATAAAGTTCCGAAAGCGGAAATGGGTGGACGATACACTCCGGATCTAAGTGACATTCCAAGCATTGGAATCAAAGCAAAAGGAAACGTGGTCTCCCAAAACAGATCTGGTAACGAAGCATCTATGCAGAGGGGAAGAAAGCTAAGGAGAAGAATTAAGAGAGCTGCCAAGTGCCGATCGGGCTGGTTTTATATTATACGCTGGATGCCCTCTTCCCACTTGGGGCTAAAGGACTTTAAGTCAGTAAGTCAAAACTCCCAATAGACAGCAGATTTAACTTAAACAAAACTAAACAATTTAATAGCTATGTTTCATACATTTTGCTGTATCAGGCTGATAATTTTAATTACCAATTTTATTAATAATTTTTCTATATACTTCTGTGTATACGCTGTAGATTAATAAAATATTAAGTTATAAGAGAATATTATTCCAAAAAGATCTCCGACTATCTTTTGAATAATCGGTAAAACAATAAATGCGGAATTGAATTCGTCTTTTGACGGATAGTCTGAAGTTAAAATATTAATATTATATGTTTCACTAAAGTAAGAACAATTTCAAACTATAATATTATATATAGATATATTTTATATTATAAATATAACCTTATTTAATTAACGTATATATACGTATTCTACAGCTAGCATAAAATATAACAAAAAACAATAACTAACCTTAAAAAATAATTACTACAATATATTATTAAAAGGAGTCCCTTTAGGCAAAGAAGAGACTGGAATTAAATAGAATATTTAAAAAAAATTGTGAGGAGTTGTGCTCGTAAAATATCATCGTAATGGAGGTATTTTTTACATCGTAATAATCAAAGTGTCGTAGTATGAAAACTATCAAAAAACCTATGTTCCCTAATTTAACCGAAATACGTTCCGAAGTTGGAAACTTTTAAAAGTCCATTTTCATTTTAAGCGGTTTTCGTTCCCGTGAATATCGATTTAGCCGTAAAATTCCGTGAACGTGGAGTCGTTGAAAACACGTGTTTTTGTATTCCATTAATTTCGGCTTAGAATTGTCAATGCTTTGAAACAATTGACAACTAACATAATATATAGTTACGCTAACATATTTACTAAGTAATTAATAATAAGTATAATATATAGGAATAATAATAACAAGCAACAGAGCAGTGTTGGCCTAGTGGTTTCAGCGTGACTCACATCCCTGAGGTTGTACGTTCGATCCCCGGCTGTGCTCCAATGGACTTTCTTTCTATGTGCGCATTAAACACTTGCTCGTACGGTGAAGGAAGGAAACCGACATTACTTAGACCCAAAAAGTCGACGGCGTGTGTCAGGCACAGGAGGCTGATCACCTACTTGCCGATTAGATTTAAAAATGATCATGAAACAGGTTCAGAAATCTGAGGCCCTAAAGAGGTTGTTGCGCCACTGATTTATTTATTTTATAGTAATAACAAATTTATTATTCTATGGTCTAGGACTGACTGACAACTGTCTATTTGGTCGTAGGCCATGTTTGATTAACGGACTCTATAAAAGTTATTTTAAAAAACGTGTGTGTACTTATGTACACGCGTTAATCGGGCCATAGACGGACCGCATGTTGCAGTCAAGACCGACTGCAACATGCGGTTTGCTCAGGAACTGCTCGAGCGGTCCTTGTATTGCGAATATGAATTAAGTATGGAAACTGCAGATCGCCGTGCGGCGACCGCATGTTGTCTTGACTGCAACATGCGGTCCGTCTATGGCCCGCTTTAGAAGTTAGGTATACTTCTTTGGCGTAACAAGATAAAAATCTTTTCAAAATTTTTATTCTACATTTGTAGAAAAGCGACACTAACGATAGAATATATGTATTAATTACATTAAAAGTTTTATTATAACGCATTATCTAGTTAAATAAAGTTTATTCAAATTAAAAAGAGTTACATAGTAGACATATGAGTTACAAGAGACTTATGATAGCTAAAGTACACAAATATTCTCATAATTTTCCCTAACGCGCCAAAAGAAGTATAACTTCAAAAATGAAACCTAAGGAACCGAGTTTGATAAACTTTTTTTAATGTAACAGGAGGCAAACGGGCAGGAGGCTAACCTGATGTTAAGTGATACCGCCGCCCATGGACACTCACATTACCAGAAGGCACGCAAGTGCGTTGCCGGCCTTTCAAGAATTGTACGCTCTTTTCTTGAATGACCTTAAGTCGAATTTGTTTTTCGTCGTAACTTTTCGTTTTTTACATTACCTATTCTTCTCAACAATTCGTAATGAGGTTGTTATTGTCAGAAAAACATATTTTTCCATTGTTTGTAATAAATGTCAGCCGTCGGCGATAATATGTTTATAACGAGGTGACATCTGGTTGTGATTGTCAATATGTGAACAATGTCACAGAGTTAGTAATGTTTTTTTAAAGATTTTTTCTAGGTCTCTCTATGGTTTAGGTTTTGGCAGACATCTTAGGGTAGCTACTTGATCATACTAGAATGCCCTTGGATTGTTCTCTATAGTCTATAATTATAGGCATTGGATTCGCATAGATATGTTGATAATATAAACTCGTTTTTCTGGGTTTCTGTGTGAATAATTTTAGGTTTTGGATAGCTATATCTTAGGGTAATAAATGCTTGGCCATACTTGTGTGGGCACAGCTCTCTAAACGTTCTCTATAGTCTATAATTTTTGAAGATGATAAAATACTCGAAGACATCTTATCATATTTATAATTTAACAACTCTGCTGCTAACTTTACCGGAATTAATATTTACGTAAAAGCTATTTATTGTATGCTGTATTGTGTGGTTAATTAAAACTTGGACGTTATCCGCGATTACCATAGATTATGATTTTTTAAATAAATTTATTTTAAACTAAACGGTTCGCAGCTCCCAGCCGAGCTAAGCATGCTAAAACAGCCTGAGCTGAGCTATAAAGGCCCTTAAGGCCAACAGCGTGAGAAACCTGTATTAAGATTGTATTTAGAGCGCTTTTAAGAATTTCACATTTTATAATCAAAAGGAGTCCCTTTAGGCAAGGTTCCGAAGATACTGGCAGCTCTATGTAACTATATCTTACTCATGCGTTGTGTTGATAAATTATGTTTGAACTATGTGTTTGTATTCGTCAACAACACACCAAATACCAATCCATGATTATTAATACACGTCAAAGGGTCGTCAATCAAGTGCCACATCTAATGAATGGGCGTCAAGATTGTTTGACACCGGTTAGGGAGAATTAATAACACAAATAATTAAAAACCCGAAGATTTGTGATTTGCATGTTTATTTCGCTATTTTAAAAAATTAGTATCAAAAATATTCTAATCAATATGTATAAATATTTATTTCCAACACACAAATATATAGTATTTACCATATTATTAACCTACACAGTAATAATAATTGAAATGGCTAAATAGAAAATTAAAACAAATTTTGAAGTTATACTTGTTTTGGCGCGTTAGGGAAAAATTATGAGAGTAAATTTTATTTTATTTTTTGCGTATTTCGTCCCAAAAAACCGACACCTGTAGTTAGCTATAGTCAACATTTTAGTTTTTACTATTTAGTGTAGTTTTTTCTACAAACGTAGAATGAAACGAAAAGAATTTTATCTTGTTACGCCGTTCTTAGGAATGCACCAGCTCTGGTGTCACCGGCCAACTTAAATATTTAATTACACTTAAGCCCCACGGCCCAAGAGTCTACTCCAATATTATATTTATATAGAAAACATCAACATTGCAACAATATATGATATCAATATACAAATTAACGATATTATCAATTTTTTTTTATCTGATAGTCACTTACTGACGATTCAAAAGGTATTTGGAATTTATATTTTAAAAAACCTGTTTTATTTAAGTAAATATGACTGGCGTAATTACTCACTAGTACCAATAAACAATGAGTTCTTATGTTAACCGTGTGACACTTGTTGAGTTAACTTACGCGTGAATCTCGTTTTGAACTTGACATCTTAACCTGAACATTTACATACAATGGAATTGCATCAACAGATCGAAGCATTTATTTTGATGTACGACTTTTAAAAGCACATGCTGATCTGTTTATATAAATTAATTAAAATGTAATAAATATATCAATGGTAATTATTAGGACACCACGGCGTCGACGTTCCACATTACTTCAACGGGAGAACAGGGGGGGGGGAGAACATCATTTATGGCCATTGGGGCATGTGATTTCAACGGATGATGATGTGGCAATGTTGGGGAGTTTTAGTGGGTATGCACAGTGGCGAGTCCCACATAACCCCACTAGGCAGTAGGGGCGCGGAATGCGTAACGTATTTTCCCACGGAAAAGAAGGAAGAGTTCGATTTCCATCAATGGCACATAATAGTTATAACTAATCGCTTCTGGACTTTACTACAAGAAAGTAATTAACGAAATAGAAAAATATTATAAAAAATAAATCAATCTCGCTACAACCTTTTTAGGTCTAGGCCTCAGATGTCTTTATCTCTTTCATGATCATTTGTCAATCGATTAGACAAGTAGTTGATTTTTGCGTCTAAGGCAAGCCGGTTTCCTCCCAATGGTGTCCTTCACCGTTCGAGCGAATACACATTGTATGTGTCCATTGGTGCACAGCCGTGGTTCAAATCTACGACCGGTATGAGAGTCGCACGCTGAATCCACTAGGCCACCACTGCTCACAAAATAATATTATACTTTCATTAATTTGTTCAGCTTAAGACAAACTTATCTCTATTCTGTGGTTTTTATAACCATAGAGTATAAATATTTGCGTTTAACCAATGTACACGGACTGTCAATTGCAATTATGACATTCCGTGTACATTTCTAGATGGCCGCGGGGTCGTTGACCCGCTCCAGGTGACCATTGCATGAGTCATAGATCAAAAGGCGGATTTACGACTAATTTTACTTGGAGTATGGAAAGTAATTTACAATGCCCATGATATACTGACATTTAACAGTCTATGGCTGTTTTGAATTGTTTAGGGACTTCTAATACTCTTGAAAATAAATTTAGTTTATGACAATATTGTGAATTCTAATGTTCACGTGTTATATTTCAGCCAGTTCTATACAAAACCTTCCTAAGTATTACATAATCTGTTGGTGAAAGCTTAGAAGCTTTAGAGATATAAAGACAGACTCAGCCGATGTTAGAGGAGTATCGGCCGCGATAATTTGTTCTGTGGTGGGTTATAAAATGGCTCTGTCGTGTCGTGATCCAAGAAATGACCTGCAGTGATGAAGTATGGAATGCAGTGGTCTG